GGACCTACAAAATGTACAGGAGACACCACTTATTCTAGGACCTACATAATGTACAGGAGACATCACTTATTCCAGAGTATGAGCTGTATTTATGAGACGAACATAAATTATCCGTTTCACGAGACTGGGCCTACCAAGAGCCAAATCTTTCTTCAAAAGGAATTGAACGGGTGTTTAGGATTACACTGAGACCTCTGTATTTGTTCCATTAATCCTGGGATTGAATGGATACCCATGCCTGCTGCTTAAAACATTAAAATTACAGTCCATATCACACCCGATAGAAGCGGCAGAGAGCAGATCCCTGGTATAGTAGACACGGTAGTCAGACCTGTGATTGACGAAAACACAGATGAAGGTTGTGCTGTTGTGTACATAGACGGATCAGTAATTCGGGGCAAGAAAAGTCCATGGGCATTCACAGTGAGCTCAAGAGCGAAAACCATTAGGGAGAGTAATGGTGCCTTTGCTGATACAGTTAGGAGCCTTACAATGGAAATGATGACTGTAACAGAGGCACTAGAATGGTTGGGTACTTACACACACACACATATGCATACTTAGTGATTTAATGAATATGCTAAAGAAAAATCAGGCTGGATTCATTAGACAAGAATAGATTGGGTCAGCAAGCACTTGGCGAATGGCTGGCCTCACCTTATTCTGGGTTATGCAAATGACCTTGACTCCCAGGTCGGCCCAGGCTTGAGTGGGTACCAGGTAAAGTCCCGGGAAGTAAAGGTGGCCAGCGTAATGCTGACCACAACACCCATCGTTGGTCTACAAAAATATAGATCTAGCTCTATATGCCATATACGCATAAAGGCGTGGAAAGGGGAAATTTACTTTTTTTTACTTTTACTGGAATATGCTGGTATTCAAGGCAACGAGCGCAGAGGTTATCTTGCAGATACTTCAATAGCTATGGCTGGTCATGTACTGAAGCAACGTTATCAATGCCAAGGCAGCACGTATCGCGAAGACAAATGCAGCAAAGAGCAGGACTCTGTGTTCCTGGCTAGACCAGATATGGTCATGAAATCGGGAGCTGCAAGAAATGAACATTTCACCAAGGGAACCAGACGTTTAATTAATCAACATAGAACAGTGTCGTCAGTCGTTTTTCGCTTCTGAATCCGTTGAGGTGGAAATGGGAGCGCCTGTGGACCTGTCCAGTGTGCTGTTAAGATTATCCTCACAGACCATTAATCATTTTGTGTTCGTGAAGTAAACGAGATTAACTGAAAAAACATGTTTGGGTGATTATTTTGTTTTCGCAGATTTGCCAAAAACAAGCTCGTTGCTGAGGACACACAACAAGATTGACAGATCACAACAGAAGGAGCAGCCGCTCCGATCATTCCAGGCCTCGCCAAAAGGTAGTTAGTTTACTTGAAACGGTCAGTGTGCTGTTTCAACGGGGACCCCCCCCCCCCCCCCCCAAAAAAAAATGGAGGCGGGGGCAGATAATGTACACATCTAATTCGCAGCCAATCTTTTACAGGGCTAATCCCACCGACGCTGGACAACAATTTACCTCCCAACCGGTGTGTGGTGCTGCAGTAAAACTGCTATATGGCTATACGATAGTGTATGTGGTTTAGGCGTTACGAAAGCACTTGGTAATTCCAAAGTGCCGGATTCGATCCCAGCTGTGGGCGATTTGGATACATACTGCCTTGAGTTGATTTCGACATGGGGAAGCATTGACAAACTACTGAACCAATGAAATCACTAACAACCAAAAATATGGGGTCAATTCTGCAACGTCATGTAAAGGATGCTAACTGACTTCCCATATATGGCTATACGTTTAAAAGGAGTTTCCGGGAATTGTACCTGTTTGATTCTCGTTCTTGAGATGTTAATCCTACTCCATATTGGAGCTAAACTCAAAATTTACAAGGCGCTGCAATCCAGTGTTGCCACTTTTCCCTGACAAAAAACATCCAAAACGGAGTCAACAAATATCTAAAAACATCGAAATTTGTGTGAAAAATATCTAGAAAAAACATCCAAATGGAAAGAGTCACAAATTACATAGCAATTAATATGACTTACCCTAAAGAATTATGTCCTCATCTTTACTGAAGTCTGCCCCACAAGATCCACAGGATAAACTTAGCTTGGATGATGAAGTTGAAGCTTCAGATCCAAAATGACTGGTGTGCTTTAGCTGTTCCGATTTCTTTTAATACCTAATCAGGGAGCTGATAAGTGGAACAGCCTTTTCCTACTCTTATCAGGCCAAATTTTATTGTCAAGATAGCATTTAAGAGGTCAAATTTCATCCGGTTTCTTAGGTTAGATTTGATAAATTCACTCAAAATAAAAAAAAAACATCTAGAAAAACATTTCCCATCTAAACGTCAAAAACGAAATCTAAATTCAAGGGAAAACATCTAAATCTGGATGTAAAACATCCAAAGTGGCAACACTGCTGCAATCGGAAGGTGTATCCACTTGCTTGTGGTGGAGGAGCTTCTGTTTTTGGAGCTATGCCAGGGCCTGCTCGGCAATACAGGTCAGCGGGTAGTGAACAGAGAACGAGAGATACACTAATCCTCTAGGCGGGAAGCTGAAGCTTGAGGCCAGCATCTGACTTTTGTAAGATCTTATCTCGTCGAGAAAAACATATCTAAGCCTCGAACACAGATTTTGCAATTTTGAAAATGTAGGAGAATGTATTTATAAAGACAGAGACCTCGACCCTACAAACATTTGGAATCTCCGGCTGTAAACAAGGCCAGTCACAGTGATGTATTGAGGCTATAGTAATGCGACTATGAATATTAAAGCTCGGAATGCTGAAGAAGAAGAAGTTTGCCAGACTCAACTGTCAACGCTCCATATCACTGTCTAAATCAACGACAAGCGGTTTGCTGTAAAATTGCCAGCAGCTTAATCGTACTGGGCGTTTTTGACTTACGGACAACACAGGTAACCGCTATGTTTCAGACGTCATTAATGCACACATGAAACAAAAAACATGGTTAAATGATGAATGTCGCCGTCTCAGTCGATCACCAGGGTCACAGATCAGGTCAGTACTCCTTTATCAACCTTTCTAGGTATTGTTGCTTCCCCCCCCCCCCCCACATCGCTCTTTTCCCACCAATCTTGCCTGCTGTTACTAGATTATCATTTCAGTTTTTAACTCTTTCTCTTCTTCTTCGCGTCCACTATCTGTTCATTTAGACAGAAAATTCTGATTTTTTCTCCACTTCTGGACTTTGTTCGTGTTCCATAACTGGAGTTTTTCGTGAACATCCGTTTTATGAAAATGACTTATCTTTCTGAAGACTACTGGTCCCTCGTTTTTCACAGATGCACTGCGACTTGGAAGAAAACAGTCCCTAATTAGTCGCCATTTGCGACATGCTTGTTATGGACCAGTTGGTTTGTTCATTTTATCCAAAATAGGGTCCCGAAACCATATGGGGAATTTCCCTAACCGGTTTACGGGTTTCATTTGTCCCGAGGATTCGGCGTCCACTCAGAATAACCTATTGTTTAACCAGAACTCGTCTCCACTAGGTTCTTCACTGTTTTTTTTCTTCTTCTGGTTTTACTAGACAAAAAAAGATAATGGAGATATCTTAAAAGACACTGACTCACGAAGAGAACTGATTGCCTACATCAGAGTGAGGCAATCTACATTCTGTGATCATTTCATGTTAAAGTTAGTTGCTTATCCTTTACAGGACGTTAAAATACGTGTTGTGGTTTTTCTAGAAAGATATGAAACCGAACAAAAAGTATGGTTTTTCTAGGCAAATCTCACGTCTAGTAGTTTGCCATTGAATCTAAAACGGTCAGCTCTTGGTAGCACTATCGAAACCAGTGCAAGACAAATCGTCCGCAGCTGGGATCGAACCCGGCACCCAGGCATTACGAGGCGCGTTCGCAACGCATAAGCCGACGATCATGTCATGAGAAGGAGAAAATTGGAGTACATAGTGACGGTAGGAAAGTTGAAGGCGAAAGAGGCAGAGGGAGACCGAGAGAGAAGATACATGACAGACATCAGGGCATAGGAAAGCATCTGTGTCAGAAGTGATTGAGAGGAAAGAAGACAGAAGGTTCTGGATGGACATAACTATCAACACCACCAATCATCGACTATGAAATGATGAAGTTTGCAGTTGCTCACTAAAGGTTGGCTGCCCATACCAACACAACGCGGTCAGCTTCCTAATTAAGTGCAGCTTAATAGATCCGGGTATCTTAGAATTACAAACCCCACGCGTAATCCCCCCCCCCACCTCTTTTCCACGTGTGTACTGAGCATAAACTGTTGTTTAACAGGGGCCAAGGTGGCACAATGACTAGATGCCTTCCTGACAGCCCTACGGTTTTTGGATTCGAATCTTCATTGGGGAAAAATGTTGTGTTTAAAACTGACCTGGGCGCTAAAGTCGACGTAGTCTGAACTGGGTGCCAGAAAATGTCATGGGAAATACAAGAAACGAGGGTGATCTTGATCACACCATCCATCGGAATTGGAACTCTTTGCTAGCTGCTGAAGATAGGGACGGAATACTTATTGGAATGTCCCTAGTGCTGTGATGTCATTTCTTAGCTCAGCATCATCATCAGCATCGCATGCCCTGTCGACTGGCGTAGGCGTTCATGCATTCCCAAAGATCTCTGTTCCTTGATCTCTGGATCAGTTCCACCGATAATATCCCTCCGTGCCACCATAGCAGTCCATCTGTCATTGTCTCTCTCGGTCTGCTTCTCCCTCTTCTATCGTTGATCTTCCCAATCGTCAATATATTCTCCCGACGCATCATTGGCATCAAAAAAGTCCTTTATTTTTTATGGGGTGGGAGTGTTGGCTACTACATCAGAGGACTGATAACGCATGGGAATGCCGAGTGTGCAGTGACGTCGATTGTGATAACGTAGCGTCACCCACCCGTAAACTATACAATAGTCTTTGGTATGTGGCACGGGGCCACTTGGGACTTGAGTTAACTATAGTCTTTTTGTTGCAGGGACGGTTTGTGACGCAGAGAGCGATGGTACCATTCCTATGCGGTGTCCTTCCAGTCCCGACACATGTCTCTACGATTCGATGATCTGTGACGGAAAGCCCAACTGTCCCCAGGCGGAGGACGAGTCATTCGCTTTGTGTGTATTACGTCACTGGGTACGTCAGCGTTTGCCAGCTCGTGACGTCAGGGATGTCTGAGTTCGGTTGCGTCCGCCATCATTGGTGTCAAGTTATTGTTTGTGCTATTTAATATTTAGATTCTGTTCTGTGTTATATAAAATATATAATGTTTGTTTTGTTGTTGTTGAATACTGTATGTTTTTGTTGTGTGCTATATGTTTTTCTTGTGTGCTACAATCTTTGGTTTCTGTTGTGCTATATAATGTTTAACTTCTGCTGTGTGCCATGTGATGTTTGGCTTTTGCTGTGTGATGTAAAATCTGTGTGCTATGCGCTATATAATGTTTGTGTGTGTGTGTGTGTTGTATGGTTTCATTGTGTGCTATATGTTTGCTTTCTCTTGTGTGATATATCATGTTGGGTGTCTGTTGTGTGATACATCCTGTTTGGTTTCTCGTGTGTGCTATATCATTGCTGGTTTATGTTGTGTGCTATATCATGTGTTTTTGTGTGTGTGTGCTGTGTCATGTTTTTTTTCTTTGTGCTATGTCACGTTTGGTTTTTTGTGTGTTCTATATCATATTTGGTTTCTGTTGTGTGCTATATCATGTTTGGTGTCTCTTGTGTTCTATATCATATTTGGTTTCTGTTGTGTGCTATATCATGTTTGGTTTCTCCTTTGTGCTGTGTCATATTTGGTTTCTGTTTTGTGCTATATCATATTTGGTTTCCCCTTTGTGCTGTGTCATATTTGGTTTCTATTGTGTGCTATATCATGTTAGGTTTCCGTTGTGGGCTATATCATGTTTGGTGTCTCTTGTGTGCTATATCATGTTTGGTTTCTGTTGTGTCCTATGCCACGTTTGGTTTCTGACGTGTTCTATATATTGTTTGGTTTCTGTTGTGTTATATATCATGTTTGGTTTCTGTTGTGTTCTATATCATGTTTGGTTTCTGTTGTGTTCTTTATCATGTTTGGTTTCTGTTGTATGCTGTATCATGTTTAGTTTCTGTTGTGTGCTGTATTATGTTTAGTTTCTGTTGTGTGCTGTATCATGATTGGTTTCTGTTGTGTTATATATCATGTTTGGTTTATCTTGTGTGCTGTATCATGTTTAGTTTCTGTTGTGTGCTGTATCATGATTGGTTTCTGTTGTGTTATATATCATGTTTGGTTTCTCTTGTGTGCTGTATCATGTTTAGTTTCTGTTGTGTGCCGTTTCATGATTGGTTTCTGTTGTGTTATATATCATGTTTAGTTTCTCTTGTGTGCTGTATCATGTTTAGTTTCTGTTTTGTGCCGTATCATGATTGGTTTCTGTTGTGTTATATATCATGTTTGGTTTCTCTTGTGTCCTGTATCATGTTTGGTTTCTCTTGTGTGCTATATCATGTTTGGTTTCTGTTGTGTGCTGTATCATGTTTGGTTTCTCTTGTGTGCTATATCATGTCAGATTTCTTTTCTGTGCTGTATAACATCAAAACTTTCAAACTGAGGATCTTCTAAGGGCCACACACGACAACTAACCGAAGTCTTTAAAAAAAATTATTGCAGAATATGTCCTTGTTTGTGCGAACCGCAGCTGTGCTTGCAAAGCTCTAGCCACCGGTTTGACATGCCTGCTAAATAGTGTTTGGTTTTGTCCTGATCTGTATACTGTTTGTTGCGTGCTATATAATGTTTCATATTTGCAATATGTTACATGTTTGATTTCTAAGTGTGCTTTAAAATTGTTTACTTCTGGTATGTACTATATTTGGTTTTTCTTATATGCTATAAAATGTTGATTTTTGTGGGTGCACACAATATTTTTTTCTCCCTGTTTGTGCTATATAATATTTTTTTTCTATCGTGTGCAATGTCTGATTTGTGTTTATAATGCTTAGTTTATGTTGTGTGCTATATAGTATTCATTTTCTGTATTGTGATATGCTAAAATATGTCCTTGATGTTTATTATTTGAATAATACTTAGTGACAAAGTGCAAGAGATACGAGAGAATAATATGTAAAAGGGGATAGAGAAATCAGCATTAAAGATGTAAATTAAGACAATATAAATTATAAGAGGTGTCAGAAAGTGTAATAGAAGACAATGTAAGAGGTGTGAGAGAGAAAAATGTTGGACATCTAAGAAAAAACAGTGTGAGGCAAAGGGTGTGAGAGAAGAAAATGTTGGAAATTTAAGAGAAGACAATGTAAGAGGTGTAAACAAAAAATGTTGGACATCTAAGATAAGTCAGTGTGAGGGAAGAGGTGAGAGAGAAGGAAATGTTAGAAATTTACGAGAAGACAATCTAAAAGGTGTGGAAAAGCAAATGTTGGAAATTTAAGAAAAGACGGTGTTAGAGAAGAGGTGTGAGAGAAGAAAATGTTGGAAATGTAAGAGAAGACAGTATGAGAGAAGAAAATGTTGGAGATGTAAGAGAAGACAGTATGAGAGAAGAGGTGTGAGAGAAGAAAATGTTGGAGATGTAAGAGAAGACAATGTAAGAGGTGCGAGAGAAGAAAATGTTGGAAATTTAAAACAAGACAGTGTGAGAGAAGAAAGTGTTGGACATCTAAGAAAAGACAGTGTGAGGGAAGGGGTGTGAGAAAAGAAAATGTTGGAAATTTAGAAATTTAGGAGAAGACAATGTAAGAAGTGTGAGGAAGAAATGTTGGAAATTTATGAGAAGACAGTGTGAGAGAAGAAAGTGTTGGAGATGTAAGAGAAGACAGTGTGAGAGAAGAAAATTTTGGATATTTAAGAGAAGACAGTGTGAGAGAAGAGAATTTTGGAGATGTAAGAGAAGACAGTGTGAGAGAAGAAAATATTGGAGATGTAAGAGAAGACAGTATGAGAGAAGAACATGTTGGATATGTAAGGGAAGAAAATGTTGAAGATCTAAGAGAAGACAGTGTGAGAGAAGAAAATGTTGGAGATGTAAGAAAAGACAATGTAAGAGAAGAAAATATTGGAGAGTAAGAGCAGACAGTATGAGTAAAGAGGTGTTAGAGAAGGAAATGTTGGAGATATAAGAAAAGACATTGAAGAGAAGAGGTGTGAAAGGAGAAAATGTTGGAGATATAAGAAAAGACAGTGTAAGAGGAGAGATGTGAGAGAATAAAATGTTGGAGATGTAAGAAAGGACAGTGTAAGAGAAGAAGTGTGAGAGAAGAAAATGTTGCAGATGTAAGAGAGGACAGTGTAAGAGAAGAGGTGTGAGAAACAACAAGTTCGTGATGTAAGAGAAGACAGTTTGAGAGAAGTGTAAGGGATGACAATGTTGGAGATGTAAGAGAAGACAGTGTGAGAGACTAGGGGATATATAAGATAGTGTAGAAGAACACTGACAGAGAGCAGTGTAAGAATGGTAACACGGTCAGGTATTATAATTCACAGACATGACTTTATGTGCAAGACGCAGACAATACATCATTTGTCAGAAAGACAGTGCATCATGCCCCAGACACAGACAATACGTCACCTGCCACATACAGACCTGACGTATGCCATACACAGAGCACACCGAGATATTTTTCATCAACATACTTTTGCTGTGAGTGTCTTAAACCATGTTTTTTTTTTTTTTTTTTTGGTTCTTTTCTTTTGCAGACCTTCAGATGGTTTCGTAAATTTCTTCCAGCGTCACAGAGACAGACCGTGCCCTGATTACATCATCGGTCATCGTTATCTCCTGCTTGCATCTTCATCTTTCAGCATCATCGTTTCATATCACCGTTTTATTCCAAAATCAAATGCAACCACTCTTATACTGTATTCATTCCTTTACATCATCTCATCGCTCATTACGAACATTCCCTATCAACATCATCATCTTTTTAACTCATTCCCTACTAACATCATCTTCTACTTACATCAACATCATTACCTACCAACATCATTCTCTTCACACCTCATCTTCTACTTACATCATTTCCTACCATCTTCTACTCACATTGTTACCAACATCTTCTACTTACATCATTTCCAACCAAAATCATCTTGTACTTACCTTATTCCCTACCAACAACACCCAATGTCAACATTATTCCCTGTCAATATTCTCATCTACTTACATCATAATCTTCCCATAATAAAATAATATCCTACCAACATAATTCCCCACTAACATCATTCCATACCAACGTCATCGTCTACAAACAGTGTTGCTTATCAATTTATTCCCCAACCAACATAATTCACTAACAACATCTTCCCCCACTAATATTGTCATCATCTACAAATATCATCAGCTACCAAAATCTGTCCCCGCCAACATAATTCACTACTAACATCTTCCCCCACTAATATTGTCATCATCTACAAAAATCCTCAGCTACCAAAATCTGTCCCCGCCAACATAATTCCTTACTAACATCTTCCCCCACTAATATTGTCATCATGTACAAATATCATCAGCTACCAAAATCTTTCCCCGCCAACATAATTCCTTACTAACATCTTCCCCCACTAATATTGTCATCATCTACAAATATCATCAGCTACCAAAATCTGTCCCCGCCAACATAATTCACTACTAACATCTTCCCCCACTAATATTGTCATCATCTACAAAAATCATCAGCTACCAAAATCTGTCCCCGCCAACATAATTCCTTACTAACATCTTCCCCCACCAATATCACCATCTGCCATCTTTTCCAACCAAACATCATCATTTACCAATATCACCCCCTACAAACATTCACAGTAATAACGTCCTATAGCAACAACGTCATGTAACAGCAACATCCTGTAGCAACAACGTCATGTAGCAGCAACATCCTGTAGCAACAACGTCATGTAGCAGCAACATCCTGTAGCAACAACGTCATGTAACAGCAACATCCTATAGCAACAACGTCATGTAACAGTAACATCCTGTAGCAACAACGTCATGTAACAGCAACATCCTGTAGCAACAACGTCATGTAACAGCAACATCCTGTAGCAACAACGTCATGTAACAGCAACATCCTGTAGCAACAACGTCATGTAACAGCAACATCATGTAGCAACAACGTCATGTAAGAGCAACATCCTGTAGCAACAACGTCATGTAGCAGAAACATCCTATAGCAACAACGTCATGTAGCAGAAACATCCTATAGCAACAACGTCATGTAGCAGAAACATCCTATAGCAACAACGTCATGTAACAGCAACATCCTATAGCAACAACGTCATGTAACAGCAACATCCTGTAGCAACAACGTCATGTAACAGCAACATCCTGTAGCAACAACGTCATGTAACAGCAACATCCTGTAGCAACAACGTCATGTAGCAGCAACATCCTATAGCAACAACGTCATGTAGCACAAACATCCTATAGCAACAACGTCATTTAGCAGCAACATCCTGTAGCAACAAAGTCATATAGCACAAACATCCTGTACCAGAACCACATCAGAGGAACAATATAACATAACTGCTGCCGGTCAACATACACAGTGGCCGTAGATCAAGCAACGGTGTCCAGACCTAGGAAGTCTTTTATTGTCCTGTACAAATTCTAGAAAATGTATCTGGTCTCAGTAAAACCATGAGCTCTGACTGTGAGTTCTCATAGTGCGTTTGATGATGAGCCCTCACGCAATTCAGTAGTGTCACGTCATTGATTGAATGGTAATGCTAGTAGATCCTGTGCATACCAGAAATGTAGACAATCTTGGATATCGCGCATATTTTTGCCCTAGCTGCTAAAACAGACTTATGAATGAACGAACTGGTGGTGACGACGGCAGTGGAGGCTCAAAGACCAAGGCAGAGACGCTGGCTCATTCATGGCCATGGTTCGGTAGCCAGAAAACTGGCTAGGCATCAGGTACGCGAAGTTTGATTTTTTAAAGAGAGTGGCTTTTGTATCCATACAGTCTTGGCATTTTTGCTGTAGTTGCAATAGTGAATACAACGGAGTCCAAGAAGGACACACACGTCTAAAAATAAGTGTAAATCCAAATCTCCAGACTGTGACTATACAAACTCATTTCATGTGTTGTGTGGTCATACATACTCAACTCACGTGTTAATTTTACTTTTGCCTTCATTCTTAACGTTGCTGTAAATACAGTTCATGTGTGAGTGTGTGTGGGTATTTGCTTGCATATGTCTATGTATATGATGTGTTCGGGTGTGTGAGAGAGAGAAGCTGAAAAAAGGTTATATTTATAGTGTTAACGATTCTGAAGTATTACCAAGCTACTATGTATACATTTTCTAACGGAGATGGATCACCTACAGGTTTGTTCGGAGTGCTTTGATACCTATTATAGTTAACCACAGCTCTCTGTTAAAATTCATCATGATGACAATGGGTGTCGCAGAGATACGTGCAGGTGCACTGTTAAGAGACAGTGTTGGGACGACTCTGGATACTGTAGTCACACCTTGTTGCACTGGTCACAGACAGTGTTGTACTATCACAGACAGTGTTGTACTATCACAAACAGTGTTTTACAATCACAAACAGTGTTGTACTATCATAGACAGTGTTGTACTAGACTGTACGTATTGTAGTCACACCCTAATACTCCGGTCACAGACACTGTGACTAAACTGTAGGTATTGTAGTAACCCACTGGTGTACTGGTCACATACGTTGTTGTACTAGACTGTAGATATTGTAGTCACACCCTGATGCAGAGGTCACATACAGTCTTTTACTGGACTGTAGATATTTTAGTCACACCTTGGTGAACTAGTCACATACAGTGTTGTTCTAGACTGTAGATATTGTAGTCACACCTTGGTGAACTAGTCACATACAGTCTTTTACTGGACTGTAGATATTGTAGTCACACCTTGGTGAACTAGTCACATACAGTGTTGTACTAGACTGTAGATATTGTAGTCACACCTTGGTGAACTGGTCACATACAGTGTTGTACTAGACTGTAGATATTGTAGTCACACCTTGGTGAACTAGTCACATACAGTGTTGTACTAGACTGTATATATTGTAGTCACACCTTGGTAAACTAGTCACATATAGTCTTTTACTGGACTGTAGATATTGTAGTCACACCTTGGTGAACTAGTCACATACAGTGTTGTACTAGACTGTAGATATTGTAGTCACACCTTGGTGAACTAGTCACATACAATCGTTAACTGGACTGTAGATATTGTAGTCACACCTTGGTGTACTGGTCACAGACAGTGTTGTACTAGACTGTAGATATTGTAGTCACACCTTGGTGAACTGGTCACAGACAGTGTTGTACTAAACTGTACATATTATAGTCCCACCTTGGTGTACTGGTCACAAACAGTGTTGTACTCGACTGTAGATATTGTAGTCACCCCTTGGTGAACTGGTCACAAACAGTGTTGTACTCGACTGTAGATATTGTAGTCCCACCTTGGTGAACTGGTCACAAACAGTGTTGTACTCGACTGTAGATATTGTAGTCACACCTTGGTGTACTGGTCACAAACAGTGTTGTACTCGACTGTAGATATTGTAGTCACACCTTAGTGTACTGGTCACAGACAGTGTTGTACTCGACTGTAGATATTATAGTCACACCTTGGTGTACTGGTCACAAACAGTGTTGTACTCGACTGTAGATATTATAGTCACACCTTGGTGTACTGGTCACAGACAGTGTTGTACTAGACTAGATATTGTAGTCACACCTTGGTGAACTGGTCACAAACAGTGTTGTACTCGACTGTAGATATTGTAGTCACACCTTAGTGTACTGGTCACAAACAGTGTTGTACTCGACTGTAGATATTGTAGTCACACCCTGGTGCTCAGGTTACAGACAAAACTGTGTCTAGACTATGGAATGCTAGCAACAAGAATTTACCGATCCTACTAAAATGACTATTGCAGTTTCAGCTCTGAACATCACTGACAAACTATCTGCTTAAAGACATGTCCTCTCTTGATTGTGCATACCTTCCGAGATGAGCCGAACTTGTAAGAAAGCTTTACATGACTGTGTTAGAACAAACTGTCGGAATTATTGGTTGTGCCTGATTGTACATGTAGAATAAATCATAGATATGCCACACTTGTTTATGAACTCTATATTCTCTATGTTGTCTGGTCGACTGTTTTGCCAAGTTGTATGTCTTTGGAAGCGTCAACTGAATGTTTTCCCTCTCTAGGCTGCTACCCAAAGCTTTGACTACTCCTGCAACTCAAACAGCACACCCTGGATGCCAGTTCAACGTGGCACTTCAGAGGTACCCCATTGAACCTTCTAAGAAGTTATGATTACAGCATCTGTAATGGCTACATCCAGCACCACCTGGCGTATTGTGTTGTCTAAAGAGGTTAAGGACTAACTCATATGAAACACAAAGGCATTTCACATATAAAACTCACAGGTATAGTAACACATATGACATCATCATCAAGTGCTTGCCGAATGGCATAGATGATTATGCCTCTCCCCAGCTTGCAGTTTCTAACAGGATGCACATGTACTAACATTCTTCCTCGCCATGACAGAAGGCTGTCAAGCGTCCTCTCACGTTTTCCGCCTCTATCCCTCTTTCCACAAATCTTTCCAGGTGTCACATTATGTTCCAGATGATTTCTTCTCATAACATGGCCAAGACTGTCTTCATTTCACGTTTTTGGTGTTGTCTTTGAGCCCTTACTTATTTTTAAAACATCTGGATGACTTATTTTGGCTGCTAATGGAATTTTA